AAAAGGGGATGCAGCAAAACTTACTTGTCACCTCCATTCTCTGGTTTTCGCTCGACTGTGAACTCATTGAACCATGGAAAAATGATAAACTTGATGTACTCCAGGCATGGGTTCTTTTCCACAACTTTTGGGGGGCAGAATGCTTTCTTTATTTTCAAATTCACATCGGCCTGTATATTGATTGACAAATTAGCAACTGATCAAAGGTTCGGTTGGTCAATAAAATTAAACAAAATAACTCATGGTGGTACCAAGCAATACCTCTTCATCTTCCATGTAAATGGATGAAGATGGATCACTCTTAGACATCTTCTCCTGTCCTTCCTGCAGACCTGGTAGCATATCTACATGCAAAAAAAATTAGTAGAGAAGATTTCATCAATTATATAATTCTTTATAGAGATAAAAAATTCCCAAGACCGAAGGATTAGAAATATGCTTACGGTGGGACAAAATTATAGGCTTATTTTTTCTTTTGATGTCGTCACAGTACTCCCTTGCAAGCACATTTACTTTCCTTTGGTCCATGCCCAATTGGCAAATATCAGCCTGTTTAGACAAAGCAGCAACATTAACATTGAATGAACTGAAAAATGGGTTTTGTAATGACTATAGCAGTTATCAATGCACAAGAACATAGCATCAATTGGAAAGAAAACTAGAATAAATTCTTTGTACGACTGATCCAAGAAAAAAATTACAAAAAAAAAAATATTAGAATCATTAAACTCAACTTGTAGCAACACACCAAATAAGGTGCAATTGATCCATCACTGCCAGTAATATTAGTAATGGTCATTAGCAGAGCTCATTTACAGGGACATATCTAGAAAGGGTTCTCAAAAGTAAGACATAATGCTCCGGAATTGTATAAGGTTCTAAGTGGACTGCACAAACAGAGAATCTAAAATGGATAATATAGAAGCATTATAATTAACCATTATGTACACAATCGTTTGAGATGATGACAGTTAATTTAATTCTCAACCATATAAGTATTCAAGTACCACCAACAGTATGAAAATCAAGATTAGAAAATCAACTCTAAATGACAAATGGAAAAAGAACAAAGAACATTTCATCTTAAAGAAGAAGTGAAGAAAAAACTGTCTCCTTAAATTAGCAAATATGACTTGATACAAATTACGAATTGGCTAAGTTTATCTAATTTGCAACGCATATTCACATGTTGCTTATATAACAGTCACCTTAAGGAAAAAAATATCAGCACACTGCATGCAAGGATAGAAGATCTGAGCTGCCGATAATTCATCTTGCTCCGTACGGCCCATAATTTGACAACATCTAAGTGCAAAACAAAAAAAATAAAATAAATAGATGACACTAAATACACAGACAATCAATTAAAATACTAAAATCGGGATCTTTACCTGACTATCCTAGGAAGCTTGTTCCTCCTTGCTATGTCCATAACAAGAGGCCAATACTCATGAGCCCGAGAATTGATCTCCTCAGAAGACCACAGAAATTCGACCTGACCTCCGTCAATATTCATCCCCACTGCTTTCCATATCTCGATCAGGTACTGCCCTATCACTTGGATTTTTTTCAGGTCGCCACCCATTTTGTTGTTCAGCTGGGCAAACCAATCTGCAATCCATATCTTCACTTTGCAGCCAGCAGAAGTCAGCTTGTTCACATTAATTGCCTTCATAACACCCTGATCAGACATATACAACAAGCCTCGTCATAAAATGATGTAAATTGAACAAGTAAATCCCTCATTCTTCCTTCATCACAGAAAAATAGGTCATGTAAATAGTTTTTCATTTCCATGTACTGTAATTTAATATCATGGGATCACACTAGTACATTTTATCTGGATTAGCTTTTACAGAAGCCATGTAGAAACTGAATGTAGTTAAATAGATGTCTGTGCCTGAATGGAAATTGGAAAAGGCAACACCTAAACTAGATCATCACGGCCAGTTATCAAAATTTGCTCCTTATTAACTGTCGCCCATAAGTCAAGTATATCAAAAATTAAAGTACCCAGCAGAGTAAACCCAATACAAGCACCAAATTCACTTAGACTTTGAGATACCGCAATCGAACTAAGTGACCCTTCAAGAAGGAAAAATGCAAAACCCATAAGCAAACATACACTCTTTTTAAAATATACAGTAAATAATTAAACCACCTGAGCAATATGCATTCTGCCCGAGGGCTCAAACCCGTCATAGCAAATGGGCTGGGGTTTGTTAGCCAATAATCTCTGCAACTCATCTTCCTGTATGCACTCTTCACCAATGCTCCTTACTATATCGAACCTCTCCTGAACGCTTAGCCTAAACAACAGCTCAATCCAGTAATTCACCACTCAAAATAATGCTATGGCCAAACAAAAATAAATTCAAACAAAAAAAAGAAGAATTACAAAATTGTAATTGAAACACAAGAAATTAGCAGAGATTACTGTGGCTGAGGAGAAATTGATAGGGATTGCAGAGCTTGCGAAGGCAATACATCGTTTCTGTTGTTGCCATCGTTCTCCATTTGAAAACGCGCCGAGGTGAGCTAGGGCTTTTGTGGAGTGAGAGGTCACTTTTAGGTTAAAAATGGGTTCTATGAAGGCAATTAAGAACTGATTAAGTGAACTTCTTAGCTTTAACTTATATCGTTAAAATTTGAGAACATGTTTTCTTGCAAAAGTTTTCACTTAAAGTGATATACATAAATGACTTAACTCGAACACGTTTAATTAGCTATTAGCTCAATGAACGAACTTCAGCACGTTTAATCATTGTTGACCTATGAAATGTGAGAGTAACGAGTGATAAAATTTTTGTAAGGTAAAACGAAATATACATATGGAAATGAGATCGAATGACCTTTTTTTGTATTACATTCAGATCAAATTCTATTGTATGTAGGGATGTTTACAGTCCGATTTTAATAAAAAAAAAACCGTCAATTCGGACCGTGGATCGGTTAAATGGTCAGTTAAAAAAACCTTAAAAAATTCAGTGGTTAAATTTCTTAAAAATCCGGAATAACCGGTCCGGTTAACGGATTATTTACGGTAAACCGTCGGTTTAACCGGACCGGACCGGTAAATATTAAAAAACTATAACCAATATATATATACATTCAGTCATTCACTATGACCGACAAATACAATACATTCACTTTCAGTTTTTGGTCTTTTGTTGACTTAATTTTGTAAGACACTATAACTTTTCACTTTTTTCCACCTTCGTTTTTTCATTTTCATATTTTCCAACCTTCTCTTCCTAATTTTTCACTTTCACTTGGGTTCAGTTTACATAATTTAATCTTCATCATTTTCGTATTTTTATGTTTATGGGACGAAATGTGTATTTTTATGCTTATGGGACGAATTGTGTATTTTTTTTATTTCATTATTGTTGTTTTTCTTAATTTTTAGACCCAAATAATCTCTTTTGGACCCAAAATTGAAAAATAAAAACTAAGCCCAAAATGAAAAAAAATAACAATTGAAGGCCCAAAACAAAGATTTTGGATTTAACCGGTTAACCGCTAAACCGGACCGTCCAATGCGGTCCGGATTGTGGTCGGTTAAAAAATAAAACCGGTCCGACTATGGACAAGAAAAAAAATTCACCGTTAGGTCCGGTTTGGTCATGGTTTGGGCTAAAACGGACCAATCCGGACCGTAAACACCCCTAATTGTATGAGCAAAGTTATTTTTAGAACTAAAATATTCGTATGTCCCGTATTACAATAAATGATGGGGGTATTTATAGGGCAAAACTCACGGACACTGTCCACGAGGTCAACACATCAATATTAAAAGCGATTTGATTGGGACATGTGTGGCTCTGCAGAGAGGGACCCACTCCTAATGATCACCGTCGACAGTGTGATGGACATGCGTCCTATCAGCATTTAATACGTTGTCAGAGGTCGGATTCCGAATGATGTAGTTCAACGCTTGTGGGTGGGTGACCGAGCACTTTACATCAAGCCCCACTCAGGCCGAGCTGATTAGCTTTATATGAAAATGTCGAACCGACTAGCCTATTCACTATCCAACCATTGAGGTCGGATAGAGGTCGTTTCCTATTCCACGTGTCAAACGATGGTAAGATTGTTCGTTTGGATGTCAACAATCACCTATTGGCTGACTCGAGGGGTCGTTAAAATTTGAGTTTTACTAGTTGATAGTAATAAGCAAATCAAACTCGCTTAGTCAAATAATGGCTCGAGCTGTTGTTTATAGTGCATACTATCATGTCTCATTCTTTTTCTTCACTAACAACATAATTTAAAGTGTGGTTGGTAAACATCATAACCTAGCTTATAATTTGTTAGAATATCACTTGTGAGTTGTCCCACATTGTCCATACATGGAAAATAGACCCACCTTATAGGTCTAATGAGCTACTCCTCCTTCCACTAAATGGTTTTGGAATGGAACCTCATTTGGGCTTAATATGGGCTTTTCCCCATTTTTTCATGTGCGCTTCATGATAGTGGGTCCGCACCCGTTTTTCCCCCGTTTCTTTCATAGTTTATTTAGTTAGTTTATAAGTTTTCTATATAGAAATAAGTTTGGTTTAGTAGGACGAGTATTTTTAGAAAATTCGAGCTTATCTTTTTAACTTCTTTTGATAATTTTTTAAATAAGGTAATTGAAATTTTATTTCTCACTTATCATTTAATTTTACTAAATAATTTTATAATACTAATGAGCTTTTTAGCCATTAGTCATAAACTATTAGCTATAAAGTAGCTCGAAATTCATGTATTAGCTATTGACTAATTTATCAGCTAGTTTTATCCAATATATGCATTTCTAAGGTTTTTGGGCCATGAGATCTTGACCTTGGGCTCCAAGACGTAAGGAATATTATCGTTTAGTGTTTCGTGACCCAAATTATAACTTGGGTTGAAAAAAATCAGTAGAGGGCATCCCGTTAGCTTGTAAGCCACCCTATTTGTTGATGGATTTTTAATATCATCTACAAATATAGGTGAAAAGAAATATTAGAACGTGAGATTTGAAATTCCAAATTTTGCTCCAAACATAGCTATTAATCTTAAACTGATTGATTACAATGAATGACATATATTTAAAACCCCCTTAATTTGCAAGCCCTTAATTAAAAATAGAGAACTTTCATTAACTTTCTTAAATACACATGATTATGAGGCTGCCACTTTTTTAAAGAGGCACAGTCTATTATCAGCCAGCTTTGACTTGTAAGCAGATTTTTTGTAATCAAACCATGTAAATTCCTTGTACAAGCTGTTTCCACCTTCCATTAATGAAGGCAATGGGGCTATTTTCTCACTCAATGGTGGTCCTCCAAAATAAATCATTGATAGCCTTGATTTTGAGGTGTTGGTCACAACCCTATGCTTTACACTTTTAAACCTCCCATTGGTCATTACCTGAAAAAAAAAATAGAAAAAAAAAATGGAATTTTACTGAGTACGAAAAAAAATGACCATCAATTCTTTCTTTAAGAAGTACGAAAAAAAAAAAAAATTAAGGTGTGAATTAATAAGGTTGTTCAATGGTTAAACAACTGAGTATGTTTCGTAAGTACTATAAGCTAGCTTATATCTTATTTGGTTAACTTATAAGTTTTCTGTATTTAAATAAGATTGATTTGGTAGGACGAGATTTTTATTTCAACTTATTTGGTTAACTTATAAGTTTTCTGTATTCAAATAAGATTGATTTGGTAGGACGAGATTTTTATTTCATAAGCTTCTTTGGGTAACTTTTTAAATATGTCCATTGAAATTTTTATTTCAGCTACCTTATCAGCTAATTTAACCGAACATTTTTTATTATATAAACTAGTTTTTCAGTCGTAAGTCATAAATTATTAGCTATACGCTCAAAATTCACTCATAAGCTATCAACAAACTTATGAGCTAGTTTATCAACTAAGTTTACTAAACATAGTCTATGCTTTTTAACAGATCTATACATTTCAGACTTAAATATCATTCTGTCAAAATTAGAGAAAAAAATATGGCATTTTCATAAGTATACATTTTTGTTTGAAAAAATATGACGGTATTGATGTACGCCTAAAATTTATTGTCTCATTCAAAAATTTGTGATTAATTAATCGTTCATGAATTTTTTTCGAAATAAATGCATTGAAATGTAAAAAAAAATAAAAACCAACTTTGAAGAAATATAGTTATACCTGCAATGAGTCACCAACATTGATAAAGAAAGAGTTCTCGTCTGCCGGGACCGAAATCCAACTACCTTCCTTGAGAGATATTTGGAGGCCCGACGTATTGTTGGACCTCAAAACGGATATTATTTGTGGGTCTGTGTGCTCTCCAAACCCAATTAGGTTACGTTCGTCTGAGTCCAGGTAATCGGGCCGTGGAGGGTAGTGATTTACCCTAAAAACAGAGTCACTCTCTTCGTCCATGAGTAATTTGCTGAAAGTGTTTATTGGTTGAATTTCGAGCCCATCAGCTAACATCTCAAGAATTTCACATGTCATTTTCTTCACGGCCTTCAAATATTCATTTACTACAAAACTATATATATAAAAAAATAGAAAAAATGAGATTTCGTATATAATCGCATTTATATAATTCAATTGAATTCCTCCCTTTGTTCCCCACATCAATTTGGTTTATGCTAAAAGAATATCATTAGCATAATATTTATTTATACACGTCACAATCATCAATATAGTTTTTTAATGCAAACAACCATGTCAACGTGTAGCTTCATACGATAAATACAAATACGAACCCGAAATCAAAGTTTCGACCCGAGTAATTGAAAAGCCTACCCATTTTGGCCTGACGAAATGAACTACATTTGAAAAATATAAATACCAATACCCATTGGACGATATTTTATCAAAATATCTTTCGGTAATTCAAATATCTCACGTCCATTTGGGTATAACCATCTCGAACTCGATTGAGAAAAGATTTGATATTTCAGAATCATGTTTTGATGATTAACACAAATATTAATGTGACGTCATCATTAACACGTGTCAAATATGAAATGAAACATAATTTTTTAATAGAAAATCTCATCCGGGCTGCACCCCTTTATCCACGATGCAATTTGTAGAAATAAACAAAATATCCGACCAACATATGCATTTTTTCAAAAGTAGTTGGAGCTTTCTGTAATCTGAATGAACTCCAGGGTACTTTCCATAATTAACCCAAAACAGAAAATCCTCTGTTTCTTTTTTTTTTTTTTNCTCACCGGAAATTATCAGCAGCCTCGCCGAAAACCGACCCGAACTTGTGATGGGCCGATTGGTCACCGTTTAGGAGAAAATACTCGACCCAGCCCACGTCCCCATTTGGGCCGATCCTCTTGTCGCCGTACCCAAACGGGCTGGGCGGCCCGGCCTTCTCCTTATCGGGCTGTGGCAAGGAGAAAAATCTGAGGGCCTCCGATTGAAGGTCGTTGATAATATGAGACGGGACGCCATGGTTGATGACCTTGAAGAAGCCGAAGTCTTCACAGGCCTTGACGAGTTGGGCCTTTGGGTCGGGCCGGGAAAGGTCGATCAATGGGATGTCGTCGGGGGAAAATGTGGTTACGTTTTTGGGCTTGGGGTACTGTTGGATTGCGGGCTTTGAGAGAGCCACCATTTTTTTATTCCTTTTATTCTTATAGAGAGTGGATTTTTTGGTTGTCTTTTATTTTTTGCCAATTTAGGTGAATTGAAGGTTTTTTGAGGGAGCTTAGAATGTGATGAAAATATGGGATGTCATGGAAGGTGCTTGTATATTTATAGGCGGTTTTCGGGGGAGAAAGAAAGGGAAACCAAATATGTCGTTTTCATATGTTATAACGAATCGATATGTCTAACGTATATGTGTCTCGTGCGAGAATTTGTGTTTGATTAAATTAAGAAAAATGAAAAAACAAAAAGAAATCGACATTTTCAAATCGCAAATTATCGTATGAATGCAATTGTTAGAAAAGTCAACTAGTCATATCTTTTTTAAAATAAAATACATATTTACATTGTTCAAGTACTCAGTGACGGATTTAAATGTGGCCCATTGGTCCCCCTTATTTTTTTTAAGTATATATATATATATATATATATATACAAAAAATATTTATAATATATTAATAATTAAAACTTATTTTCTATGATATTTTAAATTTAATTAATAATATTATTTATTTATTAAAAATATACTAACAATTATTATATTTTATATTTTTAAATAAATTTTTGAAAATATTTATAATGTTTTGCTCTGTCGATCTACTAATTGTAAATCAATTTTGTTATTTATAAAACCGAATATTTAGTTGGATTGTTATATTTTCTATTGTTGATTTTTTACTTCCTTTTTTTTTTGTGTAATCACATATTTTCCACTTTATTTATTTTTTCTTAAAAAATGCTCATTAGCTCTCATAAAAAAAACTATGCCATGTGCTGCAAAATTTTAATTTAAATCAATTTTTCAATGGAAAAATTTATTTTTTTCATAAATTATAGTGTTAAACTTAAATTATAATTACATGATTTTTTTTTTCTTAATTTTATAGAAGTTTTAGGGTGACACGGATTTTATGTGTATAACAACGTGATGTTACGAATATCGATATTTATACTTATAGTAAATATATATTTATATGAAACGAGCGTTTCGACTTAAACTACAAGCTCGTTTTTTAACTTTAAAAATCAGACCCCCCTGAGTGAAATTCTTAGATCCATCATTGCAAGTACCCCTCGTACCCATTCAAATTATGACACGTGTCATTTTTCTTTCTTAAATAATTTTTTTAACGAAAAACTCATTAATTAAACTATTAAATTACTTTTACTTAAAAATAAATGGGATAAATTCTTATATAGTATCCCAATTTTATCTTATCTTAGCTTTTGATACTGAATTTTTTTACTTAATCAGTTCTTGTACCCACCAGAAAAATTATATAAAACTAAGAAAGTAAAAAAAAAAAATATGCAGAGAAAGTCAATTCAAATTGAAGGCTCATATTAGGTCATAGCATCAAATTGATTCATGCATATTGCCGCTCACAAAAAGAGGAACAAAATGAGAGTTCACCCATCGAATTTGGACAAGCGAGTCGCCAAAAATCGTCGGTTAAACCGCGCGCCATACAAAATCTGAAAAATTTCACTTGCATTTTCTTACTATTTAAAGGTTCGATCAACGATCGGGAGATTCCTTATGAAAGAGCTTTATATAAATATATATTTCATAAAAATCCAATGGTCGTATTTGCGGCGATATCCAAAACAATTTTCTGTGCAATTGTTTGATTTTTTTTTTCTTTAATAATGATTTAACAAATTATGGGTATTGTATAATGAAATTAAACATGTCGCTAGATAGATCAAGTCAAGTACTTAAATATAATATATAATTTGTTGAAATTTAGTCCGGTAGTTTAGCGACATACGACAACTAATTGTGGTAGCTGGCGACAGCGGGATCGTCCTATTTTCAATTCTATAGTATGTTTTAAATTTAATTATCCTATTTTCTTAGTTATATTTATTATATACATGAACTAGAAATTAATTACAATATAATTTTTTAATGAAACAAAATAAATTATAATCTAAATCTAAATAAGAGTATAATAGGGATTTCGCATGATGAGACAATCAATATATTTTTTGTCACGTACATTAAATGTATGGTTCCGACTGAAATATTGATCAACCTAACGGTGAAACGAGAGTATACATATTATTAAGTATATACAAGAGCTACGTGACTCTAGAATGTCTTCTTCTTCTTCTTCTTCTTCTTCTTTTTTTTTTNATTTGATGTCTCAATGTTAGCTATTCATTCCATATGATACATTTAACCGGATCATCACATGCAATTTTATTGGTCCGATTTATTAGATTGAAGGGGCTACCTATTATTATGCTCATATCAAGACTTCAAGAGTCACGGGTACATCAAGTGGGTACCAAAAAATAAAGAATTTGCACCGATCAAAAAAAAAAAAAAAAAAAATAAAAAAAATAAAAAAAAAAAGAATTTGTACGTTTTATTGCAATTGAAGAATTGGGAAATTCATGAAGGAATAGAGGTAGATGAGAAATTGTTGGATGTGACATCAAAGCGAGTAAGATATAATGTTTAACTTTAAATGTAATATTTGTACCAAAAAAATAAAAAAATAGAAAACTTTAAATGTAATTTGTTTGAATTGGGATTTGCTCAGCCACACTAAAATATGTAATAGTTAGGTTGCAAATTAGGCGATTTAATATTAGATGCATCATAATTTTTATTTATTTTACCTAAAATTATATATTTATACTATTAAATATCACATATTTAATATCACATATTAAATATCACATATTTTTATTTTATATCATTTTTAGAGTATGACGTCAACTTAATAGTATACCGTATTATTTAAAAATTATTTATCTAACCATTAAAATTGTCTCAGTTGTCGCCATGGTCTTGGTCATATGCAACTTAAAAGTCTGGAAAAGAATGGAGTTTTGTTCCATGGAATAGTTATCATAGAGAACACCGTTCTTATGAAATAAAATTGAAACGCATGCAATTGAAATTAATTTCTTTTATTTGATTTCGTTTATTGAATAAAATGATCTAAATTGGAAAAAAAATTGATTGGGTGTTGATTTGATTTTAGGTTTGCGAATGAATATTACTTAAAATGTAATGATTAAAGTTAATGTGATGTAAAAATAGAAAAATCATGATTAATAGTTATATATATATATATATATATATGAGTGATGAATATATATATGATAATGAATAATATATGTATAATGAATATATATATGATAATGAATAATATATATATCACTCATATATATATATATATATGAGTGATGAATAATGAATTTTGTTGGAATTGTATAATAATGATTAGTTGGTATTATTTGATTATACTGAAATATAGAAAGAAATAAGTTAGATTAAATTTGAGTTTGAGTTAAAGAAATTGTATCCAATCTTAGTTCTTGAAAAAAAAAAATCCGGGCAATGTTATTATTCTAATGGATATTCTAATGTTATTATTTCCGTTGGAATTTTCCAATAGATTTTCAACGGAAATTTCAAAACAAAAAAAATATTTTGCTGGAATGAGTTTTCTGAAATTTTTCTTTTGATTTTGACGATTCCAACATTACATTTTTCAACGGTTGAAATATGAGTGAAAATAAAAATTTCAACGGAAATTGTATATTCTAACGGAAATTTCTACGATAAAAAATCGTTGGAATAATAGCAGTTAGAATGATCAAATTCCATCTATATTTCAATAAAAAACTAATTCCACGGCATAATTCCGTTGAAATTTTTGTTAGAATATACACTAGCGAGCTGCCCCACATCGTCTATACATGAAAAATAAGCCTAACTTATGAGTCTAGTGGGCTACTCCTCCTACTACCAATTGGTTTTGGGATGGAACCCACTAAGGTCCATCTAAGCTCACCCTGCTTTGGTGCGCTTCACGTCCGTGAGACCGCAGGACCGCACCCGTCCACCCCCGTTTCTTCAATTTTCGTTAAAATATAACGGAAGCTATATCATTGGAATATCCGTTGGAATTTTTATTGAAATATAATATTGAAGGATTTTTCATTGAAATATGACATTTCCGGTTATACATACACACCATCACACCTTACATATCATTATATAAATAATAAAATTAGTGAGACAACTAAATCAAACTTTATTGTTTAATTCTTCGTGTATTCTTCGTGTAAAAGGTCAAAAAAGGTATAAAAAAAATGGGATAATTGCGTGACTTTGACAAAGTTAAGAGGATCTCACCCATGATGACAGATATAACCTTAAAAGGAAAGGTGAACAAACATCGACAGTTTAATTAATGAAGAAGGCCGCAGATTTTTATCACACATTTCTTACATTGCCTTTTCAATTGATTCACCTGGAAAAACTAAAGATCATGGATTGACATCTGTCCAAATTCAGTTAACTATATCAATGATTCTTCACAACAATCAATTTAAATCATATTAATGTAAAATCTTACTGTTGTAAAATTTAATTTACAACTCTGTTTTAATTTCACTTGATATGTGTAAGAATATTGGTTTAACATCATCCAAAAAACCTAAGTGTTTTCTAGAAGATTTTCTTGTTAGGCAAGCAAAATAAATTAAAGGGAAGTTTTCTATTTATTTACTTGTTAATTAATTAAATTCCTATTATTTATTATTAATATTATGTTATATATTTATTATAATGTGTATTATAGTATCCTAAACATTTAGGAAAAGGATTACATAATATATATCTTATATATTTACTTACCATATATGCCACATGCATTATTGAACTTGATTCTATGCCATAATTAGTTTTCTCTTTCTTGTAGGACAAGGAATAAGTGGCAAGGACTATGAAAAGATGAGCAATTCGTACATAAGGAGTTCTGGACGTTCATGAGAAGATCTAAGGAGGATTTGAAAAGATTCACCACAAGATCTTTGAAGATTTGGAAGATCGGCTATTTTAGGAAAGTTTTGTTCTTACACGAGTTGAGAAGAGATCAAGAGAATATTTACTTTCCATGTTTCCACATCATACAAGGAAAGAAGATCTTGAGAGAGAAGGAAGAGTCCTACACTTACCATGTTACTTTGGATAAACTTGTAAGGAAATAAAAGAGAAGTCTTATACTTGGAGAAGACTCCACACCTAAGGAGTTGTATATA